GGATGACTGCGGCCTTCACGAGAGACTGGAATCCACGATGTAATTGATAGGGACATCAGAAATTTCTAGCCCAAAATAAAGAATTTTCACTTAAATAGTCATTATGAAATGTTTTTGTTAATTTTTAAAATGCAATTCAAAGGATGTGTTCTTTCATAAGATCTTTCATTCTTTGAACAAATTGAGCATGTTAGATTCTAATCTAACACTAAACCATAAGAGTTGAAAGTTCAAAGTTGTAATAGTGCCATAAATATTAACCAATTTCTGTACTTTTGATTCAAAATTAACTCAACTTATATATTTATCAGTTTCACTGTGTTCTAATGTTAATGAGGAAAATTCCTTATTTTTCCGACAGCCATTTAATAAAGGGAATATATACAAAGACACGAATTAGTTATTAAGATCCCACAAAAGAATACACCTTGCATAACAACTTGGGGATACAGCTGTGAACTACATCTAACATTAAGTGTAGGGGATAAGAAAGTAGAGAAATTGAATATGTGCAATGAGGAAAATTTTGATTCATATAATTTTATTTTTCCTCATGTCAAAACTAACATGGCAATGCTTAAATAAGTTTTTAGATTCCATGACACTCATTTTTCTGGATATTGTGACATGGATTTCTCTACTATTATATGTTTCTTAGAATTTCAGTTTTGGAGGGAAATTAAGGAAATGAAATTGAGAAAATAAGTGAGTGAGAGTCAAAGATTTGGTTATCTGAGCCTGACACCATTCTTTGACTAGATAAACCCCAAAGCCATCTGTTTCAGTATTGGTGGAATCCAGTGGACCAGACAGGGGTCAGAGACTCATTTCTCTTTGCTCCTCCCTGCTAAGTTCAACTGTAAACATGGGAACTAATGAAAGACACACAAACGGAGAACTCTGAAAGGTGGAAAGAGAAGGGTGATGTGCCTTGAGATTTCCCAGCAGCCCCACTCCTCTGTAATCTCTAATCACTTCTCCGTGATGAGAGAACAAGGTGGGAGGTGAGGGAACTATTATTAGGGGCATCTTATATCTCCCCACCAACCAGGTGAAAGTGACCTGGGCCTCTTACTTCCCAAACACCCAATGCTGTTGGACATGGCACAGGTAAGCCTTCCTCCTGTGTGTTGAGAGAATCATGTAGGCAACACCAGGTGAGCCTTACAAGGTGGTCCATCAGGACACTTAATAACAAGGAGCAGGCAGAGAAATTGCCTCTGTTTCCTCCACTGAGAGACACTAGGGTTGGGGGATAGGGTGGGCGTGGGACCAGCAGAGGGGATGTCTTGACTAAAATTACTGAAGCTAGGAAGCCTCTTTATCCCTGAGGGTGTAAGACTCCATCTCCACACAGAGGCATTGGAAAGAACGGATCTTAAATGTTGAATTCACACAGTGAGCTGTGGAAATTTACAAACATCACGTAAATGCAAAAATGTGGAGGAACTGCAAAGTATCATATGGCAGTGATGAGACAGGGACAACCTGTATGATTCTGTGTCCTGGAGTAGGAAATGGCAACCCACTTCAGTATTCTTGCCTGGAAAATTCCGTGGACACAGGAGCCTGACAGGCTGAAGTTAATGAGGTTGCAAAGAGTCAGACATGATTGAATGACTAAACACAAACACATGATTCCATGTATATGATTCAAAAGCAATCAAAGAGATTCTATAATATCAAAAGTCAGGACAGTGAGTAAATAAGGAGGTGGAGAAGTGATAAGATATTACAGAGGGGTGGGGTTGCTGGGAAGTTGAAACTTCTATTCCACGATCTGATGTGCAATTACATGGTAATTGCAGCCATGAAATTAAAAGATGCTTACTCCTTGGAAGGAAAGTTATGACCAACCTAGATAGCATATTCAAAAGCAGAGACATTACTTTATAGCATTTGTAGAAGCATGGTTTTCTATGAAAAGCAAGAACCAGAAATTACCACACATGCATTAATGGTATAAAAATGTAAAGAAAGTATCATAAAGTTATATTCCATTGTTTAATGGAATACTAGCAGAGCTTAAAATAAACAAGCTACAAATATATATGAAAGCACAAGTGAATCCTAACAAATATAATGTTGACTGAATCAAGCCTTTAGCAAAGTGTTGGAAACATTTGATATCTTACCATTTTCTCTTCATTATCTATATAAAGCAGAGTAGAGTTCTTAGTAGCACAGGATCTCACACTCTTATTCCATGATTTTTTTTCCAAACTAGTATAATAGCAATTGTTGGAATATGTAAGCCAATCTCTTGGACAATGACCACGATGATATTCTGAAGAAAGATTATGGATTACTATTAAAAAACAATTTGAATTTGAAAAATAAAAATTAACTTACATATATGCATAGATATAAACATATGCATGTATATACATATATAAATAAAATAACATATCTATGCATCCTCAAGGCTAGTACGTATAAAAAAATCTCATTCATACATTCATAGAGAGGGCCTGTCTCTAATATATGTCCCCATATAAAGCAAACACATAGAAATATCTACTCTTTACATGTCCTGAAAATCAAGAAATGAAACTTCTCTTTTAGAATAGCAGAATTATTTGTCTCTTATCATATTATAGCAGGAGGAAATTATAGCCAATTGTCAACAATGAATATGGTGATCATATTATTGCATAGTGAGAAGCACTCTCTTGTAATCATTTATTTATGAATGTTTATTGCCTGATTTTATAAATTATGCTCTATCCCCAAATCTATTCTTATTTTCACTAGCCTAAGATAGAGACAAAAATGAACTGTATTCATATCAGAACTTTGAAAATCATTATGTACCTTTCTGGAGCCTTGTTATGAGACAGGAGTAATTCTGTTCCTGTATTAGAGTAGCTACAAAATTAATCATTAAAAAGTTAATATTGCTTTAAAAAATCATAATGATTTTAGTTTATGAGCTTGAAATTCAGTTTATTGTTTAGAATTAGAGTAATCTGAAATAAAACTGATTTACCAAGAAAAATTAATTAGGTAATGAAGACTTGATGGAAAAAATATTTCAAAAACCTAATGGAACAAACTTCACCACATCTTACAGTATTGCTTTAACCAATCTCAAGAATTAATTTGTATTTCTCAATAAGATCTTTAAATCTCCTAAAGCATGCTTTCGAGTAATGAAATCAGAATATACATATACATGCTCTCTGTAATTATCCTGTATTTTATATTTTCTGACAAATTCAGAATAACATACTGCATTTATTCTAAATGCAAGTATTTTAACGATAGGCACATTCTATAATATTATGAAATGTTTAGCGGCACTGACCATCAGTAAAATGATAAGTTCCCTTACAGTTTTTCAAAAATGTACTTACAGGGAGTAACAATGATCACTGTCAACAGAATGGACATCAAGACGAGGCAGATGATTCCCAGGATCCCAGCAATGAACTTCTCTGGAGGTGATGGTGAACCTGCAGGGAGAGAAAAGGAAACTGAGAAAGGAGTGATGGGTACAGTTGCTTAGAGTTTACATACACGAGAACCCACACGAACAGAGTTATGGATATAAACTTGGACCCCAACCCATTTTGACCACTGTAGTCTTTCTCTCAGAATATACCATTGCATTTTCAGCAAATATAAGACTACATGAGATCAAAGACTTCAAATTATAGTAATGCCAGAATAAAAGTAGTCCTCTGATTTCACATCAGAATCCCATACTCAGCTTTAAGTTATGTTCCTCAAAGTGAAAAATATGTGAGCTTATCCCCTACTTTTTCTCCACACTCTGCACCCCAACTGCACATCCTAGGACAGTTCCATTGTGTGTCTAGTAAGTGTTTACCTTTGGAGTGGTAATTCTTGTCATTCCCATGAAGATTCTGAGAAGCATTTTGAAGATTTAATTCTATATATGTTAATTCCTGCTCAGCCATTGAAATGGAACTTTTAGAAAACTTAGGTTTTATTTCCTGCCTCGTTGAGTTCTTGACTCCCTTCAGTTCTGCATAGGTTGCTCCTTGGTTATTCATCTCTTCAGCTGAGTGAGATCAAAGACTGTGCTTTAAGTGAACTGAGGTTGAGTGGTGCTTCTGAGATAAGAACCCTAGTACAATGACATGGGCGGGGCAAAGACCTTAGTGCTCACTTTGCAGCTGAACAACCTTAAAGCCTGGTTCTAAATTCCTTAGAACTTTAAATAAGTTTTTCAAGATAGAATGTTTTTTTGAAAAAGATATTCTATATTTGACACATATATTATTGATTGAAACAATGAAAAGCAATAAATTAGGGAGGAATAAAGAAGTTCATGAACAATAATATCCTTATTAAGTCAGATTCCACGGAAATATTTTAAAACCATTATAGTGCTTGTATTAAAATTAAAATGTTCGGTTAACAAGAGAGATTCACCCATATTTATGATAATTTTGAAATTTAATAATGGTTAAAAACAGTTCTTTAAAGATGAGGAGAGAGTACTGTTGGCATATACAATAATTTCCTACACTAAATTACATTATTTGGTGACTTACATTTATTGATGAAAAGAGATACCAAATAGTCTTTATTTCAAATGGTTGAGGAGTTCTGAGAAAGCATTAAAAACTGAGGAAATGCTTCATATATTACATGTAATACATGTTTCCATGTTACATGTAACATGGAAAATGTTACATGACACATTAAACATATATAACAAAGTAGTATGAAAAATAAAACAATAGGAAAAGACAAAAAAATACTCATTTTACAAAAGTATTTGATAATTGATTTAAAGGCTATTATCTGAACCCACAAAATGATAAACAAGTATAGGTCATTTATGGAAGAATACTGTTGGTTCAAACTTCCAGAAAGATCTGATAGATGTCAAAGTTAGTAAAGGTCATCTTAGCTGTATAGGTGGTGGTGATTACTTATAAAAAATCCGGATAACATAACTTAATAATTCAGACAATTGATGCAGTAGTCAGAAATATCTGGAAATTAGTTTATGACTGAAATTTATAAAATGTGACCTTCAAAAAGTTATTTAATATCTGGTAACCTATATTGTTAATATAAAATGGAAATAAGTTTATGCAATATATAATGTGTGTAACACTGAGCATTCAACCTGGAACTTACAAGTTCTCAGTAATTCTCAGTTTTAATTATTATTTTAGTCATCATTTCTATGGTACTATTTCTGATTTATATCAGTAAGTGCCTTTAATTAGTATAACATATCATTTACACAATGTTTGATTTAAAAAAATACTTTAATTACAAAAATTAAGTTTAAATTAGCCTTTAAGAAGTTACCTCATCTTTAATTTTATTAAAAAATTAGGGTTCTTTTATTCAATCTAATACATATAGGAGGAATTATGTTTGGCCTTTGTTATATGATGAATTCCTTTCCAAGAATCTACTTATAGATGTTGAGCAAAATATGTATAAACACATTATTATACAAAAAAGACTTACCATCTACTGCTTATAAAATCCAAAACTAATTGTTCCCTATCATGAGGTCAATAAGTTTCATTTAATATTATATACACACCCAAATATGCATGTGTGTATTCACTTGACTAGCATTCTACAGACAATAATTTGAATACTTGGAGAAGTCATCCAATATTTGGTATTTTATGGTTGCTTTTTATACCAAATTATTAAAAAAAACCAATATTCTACTTTGATTTTGTTGTATATTTACTATACCTCAGTTGCATCACGTCTAACATTTCTTAGTTCCCACTAAGTGAGATGGTCTAGTAGAGAGACAGGAGAGGAGGGACACATACCTTCTGTTGGCCAGGAAGTTGTGCATCCTTTAGTGTGCAGATCAGTTTATCTCTTAAAAGAGGCCTGCTATAGCTGGTAACAAAAGGAGAAATTTAAAAACTTAAAACCAGATAAGAATAAGCAATGTCTGTGACCTTCACAGATTGCCCTGTGAAGGCTCAGAGTGAAGCAAGAATGGAAAATATTGATTTTCATCAATGTGTCACTTTAGGTTTGAACAGGAAATCCTCACACTTAGGCTAGTTGAAGAAAGTTTAGCTTATCACACATCTTCAAAAAATAGGAGACTTTAGGCTCTAATTAAAAGGACAAATGGACCTCTAAGAGTGTTATTTAAATTTTCCATTTTTAAATGCCTCTGAGAAATTGTTGCTGCTGCTACTGCTGCTAAATCACTTCAGTTGTGTCCAACCTTGTGCGACCCCATAGACAGCAGCCCACCAGGCTCCCCCGTCCCTGGGATTCTGCAGACAAGAACACTAGAGTGGGTTGCCATTTCCTTCTCCAATGCATGAAAGTGAAAAGTGAAGGTAAAGTCACTCAGTCGTGTCCGACTCTTCACGACCCCATGGACTGCAGCCTATCAGGCTCCTCCATCCATGGGATTTTCCAGGCAAGAGTACTGGAGTGAGTTGCCATTGCCTTCTCCATATACTATAAGATCCATTAGATCTGATAAACAGAGGGCTTGAAGAACTATGGATGGAGGTTTGTGACACTATATAGGAGGCAGTGATCAAGATCATACTCAAGAAAAAGAAATGCAAAAAGGCAAGATGGTTGTCTGAGGAGGCCTTACAAATAGCTGAGAAAAGAAAAGAAGCTAAAGGCAAAGGAGAAAAGGAAAGATATATTCATCTAAATGCAGAGTTCCAAAGAATAGCAAAGGGAGATAAGAAGGCCTTCCTCGGTGACCAGTGCAAAGAAATAGAGGTAAACAATAGAGTGGGAAAGAGTAGAGATCTCTTCAAGAAGATTAGAGATACCAAGGAAACATTTCATGCAAAGACAAGAACAATAAAGGACAGAAATGATATAGGCCTAACAGAAGCAGAAGATATTAAAAAGAGGTGGCAAGAATACATAGAAGAACTATACAAAAAAGATCTTCATGACCCAGATATGCACCCAGATCACTTGCCTAGAGCCAGATATCCTGGAATGGGAAGTTGAATGGGCCTTAGGAAGCATCACTATGAACAAAGATAATGGAGGTGATGAAATTCCGGTTGAGCTATTTCAAATCCTAAGAGATGATGCTGTGAAAGTGCTGCACTAAATATGCCAGCAAATATGGAAAACTCAGCAGTGGCNTGGGCTCCAAAATCACTGCAGATGGTGAATGCAGCAATGAAATTAAAAGTTGCTTGCTCCTTGGAAGAAAAGTTGTGACCAACCTAGACAGCATATTAAAGAGCAGAGGCATTACTTTGTCAACAAAGGTCCATCTAGTCAAGGTATGGTTTTTCTAGGAGTCCTGTATGGATGTGAGATTTGGACTATAAAGAAAGCTGAGAGCTGAAGAATTGATGCTTTTGAACTGTGCTGATGAAGACTCTTGAGAGTCCTTTGGACAGCAAGGAGATCCAATCAGTCCATCCTAAAGGAAACCAGTCCTGAATATTCATTGGAAGGACTGATGCTGAAGCTGAAGCTCCAATACTGTGGCCACCTGATGCGAAGAAGACTCATTTGAAAAGACCCCGATGCTGGGAAAGATTGAAGGTGGGAGGAGAAGGGGGCAACAGAGGATGAGATGGTTGGATGGCATCACTGACTCAATGGACATGAGTTTGAGTAAACTCTGGGAGTTTCTGATGGACGGGGAGGCCTGGCGAGCTGCAGTCCATGAGATCACAAAGAGTCAGACGTGAGTGAGCAACGGAACTGACCTGACCTGACCTGACACACTAGAAGATCTAAAAACTGTGCTTAGTTGCTCAACTGTGTCCAACTCTTTGCAACCCCAAGGCTTCCCTGGGGCTCAGAGGTTAAAGCGTAAAGACTGTAGCCTGCCAGGCTCCTCTGTCCATGAGGATTCTCCACGCAAGAATACTGAAGGAGGTTGCCATGCCCTCCTCCAGGGGATCTCTCCAATGCAGCGATCAAACCCAGGTCTCCCACACTGCAGGCAGATTCTTTACCATCTGAGCCACCAGCCTAAGAATACTGCAGTGGGTAGCCTATCCCATCTTCACATCATCTTCCTGACCCAGGAACTCAACCGGGATCTTCTGCATTGCTGATGGATTCTTTAGCTGCTTACCAGCTGAGCTATCAGGGAAGTCCCCAAAAATGTGCTACCTTTATTTAAAAGGAGGAAAACAGTTTTGCATAGAGACTCATAGAAGAAGGAATCCCAAGCCATGGAAAAGTGCTTTTGAAAAGACTACAAATGGTGCAGCTGACATAGAAGCAATTTCAATTGTTATTGCTATGTATTTTGAAGAAAAATTATAAAACATTGGAGCACTGGTAGCCCTTTAGGTGCACAGCTCTATGTAGTTCATAAGAGGGGGGGAAAAAAGAGCCAAAATGCAATCCTTTGTTGTTGTTGTTGTTGTTTCTGCCTAACTAGCACTTATTTCTGGGGTAAAATAGGGCTCAGACATTCTCATTATATTTAAACATGTAATGATTTTTAAAAAATGCTTTTATAATTGTTGCTATGGCTAACAGAATAGATTATTTTGATTCTGATGCATTTAAAGAGCAACTTTCAAACCATTCAACATTTTAAGATTTTCAATTATAGCTGTCATATTTTATTGAATGCCAATATCTGTTTCTTCAGATAATTTAAAGAGTACACAAGAAAGAAATGAAAATATGCCATTATTAAAATCAGTCAACCCAATATTGGATATATTTACTGTACTGTATCAATCAGGTTAGATATCCTTAGGATGCTTCTCAAAAATATAGGCTGATATTTACTCACAGTTTTATATTTTTAATTTTTATCTAGAAATCATTTCAGGTAATTTATTTTTAGGATTTTTGAATTTAGCTATTTCCCACCTGCATGAGAGTCTGAAAGGTGGCCTTAATTTTTCAACTTTATGTTCACTGCTAAAGTTCACAAATGGTTTGATCTATGAAATCTTCATAAAATTTGGCATTTTAGTTATCTATGATTCTTGTCTGAAGGGTGTGAAGTAAATGAAATACTGAAACCAGTGGAAACTTTCTGTGTGGGAATATTGAATGCTATTTGATCATTGGCTATCTTTTT